CATTTTTCGAAGAGTGACCTTGATATTTTCCCCACTGAAAGTTGCAATTTTGTCTGATGACGATTAAAGCCTTATCAATTGTCATTCATATGCGATAATAAAAAAAGTGGTTATCGTCCTGCGTTGACCTCAGGTCAGGTCATTTTTATGACCTCTCCATTTTTACGAGCGGGAGCGACAGCGAGATCTCGAGAATAAAGCAAGATAGCGACAAGCGGTAAACGGTAAAGGGTACACACGGATAAGGTCTATAATTTTTACTGAGGTAATTTTCAGGTCAGGTCAAAGATGACGTCACAGGAGCTAAAAGGAAGTCAAAATAGCGGCACTATACATATATATGAAGTTTTTCTCGAATAACTTTCAAGGTATCCCAGCTAGGAACAAACTAATAGCACCATCGTGATCCTCTCGTCGATCCGCATCGAAACATATGTATGTTGACCTCGAAAGGTCGAAAGGTCAAAAGTTGACCTTAGGTCACGTGATCTACGGTCAACTTTTGACCTTTCGACCTTTCGAGGTCAACATACATATGTTTCGATGCGGATCGACGAGAGGATCACGATGGTGCTATTAGTTTGTTCCTAGCTGGGATACCTTGAATGTTATTCGAGAAAAACTTCATATATATGTATAGTGCCGCTATTTTGACTTCCTTTTAGCGCCTATGACGTCATCTTTGACCTGACCTGAAAATGACCTCAGTAAAAATTATAGACCTTATCCGTGTGTACCCTTTACCGTTTACCGCTTGTCGCTATCTTGCTTTATTCTCGAGATCTCGCTGTCGCTCCCGCTAGTAATAATGGACAGGTCATAAAAATGACCTGACCTGAGGTCAACGCAGGGCGATAACCACTTTTTTTAATATCGCATATGAATGACAATTGATAAGGCTTTAATCGTCATCAGACAAAATTGCAACTTTCAGTGGGGAAAATATCAAGGTCACTCTTCGAAAAATAGGACAAAAGGTCACGTGATCAAAATTTTCAAAAATTGAAAATCCGAGATAGCCAAAATGTTTGTTGGTTGATTGTGAGTTGAACCATATTAAGTTTTTATCGTAAAAAACCAATAGTTTCTGAGTTATAGGCCGCCAAACATAGGGCTGCAGCGCGAACTCCAGGAATTGCCCGAGGCTATATCTCGGAAACCGTTGTTCGAAGAAAAACATCCTTGCCACAGCTGGCTTCCCCGCCCATCACAACCCCTTACACCAGTTTTCAACGAAGAATAAAATATGAGGGTGCAAATTTAATTTTTTATTTGTCGATTTGTCGTGGAACGCCCCTGAAGTGTCTGCACGTCGCGGATTTCTCCATGGCGCCCTGTATACGTGATGTCGGCCTCACGCTGTCTCACATGGCGTAAGCGTCCCTTTGTTTCCCCAGACCAATCATTTGAATATGAACCGCATATTTTATTTGAATAATGCCGTCTTGTTCTTTTCCCTGCGGCCCTGCCCGTTTTGAAACGGCTTGATGAGTGCTCGGCATGTATCCGTTTATGGTGGAAAGACTTCAATGTTATGGCTCTTCCTTCAACCGGGGTGAACGCACGATCAATTCATTTTTAGGCATGCCTGGATGATTTCCGGGGGCTTTGTTGTTTTTTAGTTCTTCTGTTTGACCCTTTCTTGAAAATGCGTTTTCGCTTTGGCACTTAAATCAAGTGTGTTGTCTGTGTAATGCTAGCTACCGATGTCCCACATACATGTAACTATGCATATACACTCGCGGTTTATCGTTATCGCAGTCCCAGCTATCTGCCCTGCACGGACGATAGTGCGCAGCCGATGTTGATAGGGGCCGGTCGGACACCTGTCATGTCCTCCCTCCCTCTTTCTATCCCCTCAGTCTCAATATCAGCTGCGTAAAACTGTTTACTGTTTAATGTTTATGCTCTTCTTGTGACTCCTTATCTGAACAGCCAAAACTGATCATGCTGCAGATTGGCTCTACGGCATGTTGAAAGACGTTGCGACAGCACCGCATTTCTTGCTCTAAATATGATCGGGTCGTGTTAGGTAGAAAAGTGGATACCGCCGCGGGCTGGTGAGCCGTTGTAGGATCCTCGCACTGGTGACCGATATCGTAGCGGCGTTATCGCCCCGCTTCGGGCTGACCTTTAAGGAAGATAAGGCCTACTCGTAGGTGTAGAGGCTGTAGTAGAACCAGACTTTTACCGCTGATCGGCTCAACGGTTAAAGTATATCCCAGCTGAGATACAAGGCAAGTAAATATCTGTTTTATTTTTTTAGTCGGCGAATATCTCAGAACGAATTTCTGGCTTTTTTACGTTTATTATGACCAATATACCAAATGGACGGGAATCCAATAAGACCGCTGAGTGAGCCAGCATATCAAAGAAACCATATGTAGGATACCCACGACCGTGTAATGCATAACAGCACATATAGTGCACTGTTATGCATCTATGACCGTGCCTTTGACCTATGACCTATGACCGTGGCTTTGAAGGGATAGCGGGGCTTTACTTTATGTCACTTATGGTAAGTTGGAATGGGATATATTCCTCGCCTCGTGGCAAGTTAGGACATCAAGAAGCTGGCTGAACTAATCCAAAACTGTGTGGAGGGACTGTCAATTACCTTATTCAACGTAAGTTCCCCTTGAACGACCAAAGAAGGCGGAGCTATCCGGTGATTTTTAGCAAGAAATGAAAGGCATTATCATTCCTAAGTTATGAAGTTTGAAGCAAAAACCGGCTGGACTAGCCTCGCTCTCCCCTACTTACATGATTTGTTCACGTCCAACTGGTCTCAGGAAACCCGAAACTGAGGCGCGGCCACTGTCATCTGCCGGCAGAGGGGGAGGGGGAGGTCGAACGTTAGGCTGCTGGAAGGCTATGTCTACATTCTGTCTACTTTCTGTTGTCTCTGTAGTCTGTAGACTGGATCAGTGAGCAGTTGATGCCTGTGACCCGCAGATAATTTTGACTTTTAAGGTTTGCTTTTACCTACACTGAGTGAAAACGCTCGCAGTGCAGGACGGACCACCCGCACTGGGCACCTACATTCAGGCTCACGCGCGCCGTGTCCCCATGTTGACTGTTTTGTCTGGACTCTGACTCACCCCCGCTTTGACTGCCGCTCCCGTTCCCGTGCCGGTGCGGCTGCACGTGCCGTGCCGTGGGGTGTCCGCTGACCGTCCCCCCCTCTCGGTCTCCGCCAGCCGCCGCGCGCGGCGCCCGCTGACCGTCCGCCCCTCTCGGTCTCCGCCAGCCGCCGCGCGCCCACCCCGGATGGCAGACGCTGCCGGCCCTCGACTTCGGACCGGCGTGCCCCCAGCCGGCCCGCTACGTGGGCGTGCAGCACGGCATTCGCCAGGTGGCCGAGGACTGCCTGTACCTGAACGTCTACACGCCGAGTGTGAGTGCAGCGAAGCGAACGTGGCCGGCCGGCCGCCGTAAACGCATACACATTTCTTGGAGACTATACGTAGACACTCCGTCTTAGCTGAACCGAGGGTCAATGCAGGGAATGCTGCCAACCATCACTTCAAAAAGTCACTGCCTGCTTCCTTGAGAAAACTACATCTTAATTAGCATATGAACTGAAGCATTAGTAGTCAACATGGTAATTCCATTTGTATTATTTCGTTTCTGTCCTTGTATATCAGCAGCCTAGAGGCGGTCGTCTAGTTTAGTCGCACTCGTCTCGACCAACTAAATACCCAACATCGGCAGTCTTCATGAGTCGGAAATATGTCGTTTCTGATAAAGTTCTTTGATTTTTGTTGACAGTTATGAGTTATGGCATTGAACAATGAACACTAAACAGGAATCACCGAAATTTGTAATTTGGAGAGTGAGAGTAAACCAGCAGAAGTTAGGTATGAGGCATTTCATCCGTGCTCATTTCATGTCACACGTTTATGATTTCAGTCATTAGTACTCCTCTTTTAAGGACACTACATAGACACTGTCTCTGATGTGCCACGCGTCTGTACCTTTCCCAAATTATATAGAAATTAGATAGCTCTCAGACAAGCATGCGTGTGTATTTCCTAACCGAACTGGTTGCCGGTTGCAGATTTCCAGTAACGTGCGTGACAAGTACGCGGTGCTGTTCTACATTCACGGCGGGGAGTTCACGCACGGCGCGTCCAGCCTGTTCCCAGCGCACATGCTCTCCGCCTGGGGAGAGGTGGTCGTCGTCACCTTCAACTACCGACTCGGCGCACTCGGTGAGTGCTTCTTAGAATTGATACCTTAGTGCCCTTGTTTGTTTGTTTTGTTGGGTTAGGCCCTTTCGGTCCAATGAGACCATTTCAGAGCCGGGAGGATGATAGGATACAGGGGGAGACATTGGTCTGGGCAGGCACCCTAGTGAGTCGCCGGGGCTGAGACCGTCCAGAGGACAGGCCACCCAGCCCCAAGGCACTCACTGCACCCGGCTACGGGGTGCGCTCCCTCGGGAGCAGCGGTGCCGCTCCAAGGGAGCAGCCCGCATGAGCTAAAGTTGCCTGTCCAGCCCGGAGGGGGGTTGCGGCGTGGAGCAGAAGGATTTCAGTATCCTGAGGATAGAAGCACGGAACGGTGTTTGCCCTTGTTTAGGCATCATCTATTCGTATTTACGTAATGAAGACCTCGAATGACGTGACAGTCGTTTATTGTTCCATTCAATCCCAGGTTGCTACCATAACCTTTCACTTTGGAATTTCATTCCCGTGCTATCAGGATCGGCTTAACTATTGTGGTGCTCGTGGTCGACTAAATCCCAATGTCTCCCACTCATGTCTTGTCGCTCAAATGAATATATTTACCTTTGAAGGCACGATGTGTTTCAGGTTTTCTGAGCACCGGAGACGAGTATTCACCGGGCAACTACGGCCTGCTGGACCAGGCGATGGCACTCCGGTGGGTGCACGAAAACATCATCTTCTTCAACGGTGACCCAGAGAAGATCACGGTGATGGGTCCGGGGGCGGGCGCTGCCAGCGCCGGCCTGCTGGCCGTGTCACCTCGCAGTGCCCACATGGTGCACCAGGTCATCGGAGAGGTGAGAACTTGAAGCAGTGTCTTGTTTACCAAACCACCTGCGAAAGCCAGATTCCGGGCTAATTTAATCACTAAAACATGAACACGAATAATCATTTCCTGGGACTTAATGAATTTACGTAACGAGATGCCCCAAATGATTCATATGAAATTGAACACTCTTTGAATTAGGGGAGACCCGGGAGGTATGGGCCCCCCGGAGGTATGGGCCATCGCAGTTTTGAAGAAGTGTTGCGTATTTGTACACATTTGACCAAGTAAACTGGTAGCAGCCATTTCGTTGTGCAACCCACGTGATTTCCAAAATATTCCTCAGTCTTCTTTGGCAATGAGCGGTGATAAAGCGTTTTTGCCCTCTCCGAGTAAAATACGGTACCTACATAAAGTAAATTCGTGATCAATGTGCACCAGGCTCGTTTTATTATGTCAGACCATCGCCAACGTAAAGGTTAAAACATGCAAATTAAGACTGGATAGACAATTTGAAGTTTTCTTGCAAGATTATGAGCTGAGATGCTACGCGCATTCTGGCCTCCTAACCGGGAGGTTCGGGCCACTCACCTCCAGTGATCCCAAATCAATAAAATGATGCTTTCTTTGAATGTCCTCTTTAATAAGTTTTGTTTTTGTCGCGCGTGGTCGAAAATTTGACTACAGATTGCATTTGAACAGAAAAAATTTGTTTGTCTTATTTCATGGAACATGATTGAGTTAACCATAATAAATATGCGCCCAAGCGGCCTCCATGAAGTAAGATGTTGGCCGCTTATGCGGTACCTGGGCTCTAAGAAAGCTCAAGGTAGATCCCAGCTACGAGTATTGTTCTCAATGTCGAGAAAAGAATATGCAACATGACACCGGCCCATACCTCCCGGTGTATTTTGATGGATCGAAAAAGCGGATGGTTTATTAAAAGTTTCTCGAGACAAAATAGTTGATCCCAGATGCCTAATATCAGGCACATTTTACAGGCGAAAGGCGATATCACGTACACACAGTGAAAAACCAGATCTAGCCACTGCCCACTGGAAGAAAATTACTATTTCACAAAACCGGCCCATACCTCCCGGGTCTCCCCTACATATGTGATGCCCTGTGCATCAGGTCAATTTTCAGTCCAGAAGCGTCAACCCTGCGCGCTGCCGAACTGAGCAAAGACGCCAAGATGGCTTATGTTTGTGCTTTGTAGTGTATCTGAGCTCAGATAGGACGGCCCTGCGCTTGCTAAGCTTGTTTTGTTTGCACATACTTGAGGCATGAGTCAGTTCAAATAAGCCAGTCTTGTGACGTTCTCGTTATCACTCCGTGACGCGAGGTGGATTAAAGGGTCATGTGCGCTGCTCGAATAAACCACCGAGACCTCGTATTCCTCGTGCGTTCTAGATTCCCATGTGCTTGGACTAGTACTGTCGGCTAATAATATTGTATCGTAGCACATATTTTACGCCCATGGATCAATCTATTATCGATAAAACACTTGCTCGCCCTTCCGCTAAATCAAATCAATCATCCGTTCCCAGGCTCTGGCTCGTTTATTGTAGCTTTTATAGCTGGAGCCCAGTTTTCTGAAATATGATGCAGCCCGAGCCGCTTGCTTCCGCTCCAATTGTTACGAACTTACGCATGGACCGTAAAATATTGTGTCGGCCACCTGGTCTTGATGATCAGTGAAGCCCAAAGAGGAAGTATGCCATTACGATTAAATGTACGCCCGGCCTTATATGCACTTCCACAATGACAAATCCGCTTCGGTTGAATGCAAATCAGCGCGGAGAAACAATCGACGTGTTAACAATTTGAGAGGCTTACGTGTTGGAAACAATTGAGGTGACGAGCGGGCCAGGGGATGGTATGATCGTCAATCATTTTTTTTTTGTGAGGGAATCACATCTTGCCCATGGATGTAGACATGTATGATGTAGGTTGCAACAAGTGTGCATGTAGGTAAAAACGCAACATCCATTTTAGGCTTCATATAAATACATTATAATGCATAAATTTGTCATTGCTGGGTTATCGTCAAAATCGTTTCCAACTTGTCTAAAAATGACGTTTTGTTACGCCGCAGCATACTTGTGGGACGTGAGCGCAAGTGCGCCTAGTTTCTACCTACCCACCCACCAGAAATAAAACTTCTGGAACTAATAAAAGAACAAAAAGGAGTAGAACTAGAATCAAGCTATTTGCATCTTGCGTTTAAATGTATGTATACACAAGTGTACACATGCACGTATGAATGCGTATGTATGTTGGTATGTATGTATTTATGTATGCATACTGTATATGATTGTATGTATATGTATGTGTGTACATATGTATGTATGTATGTATGTATGCATGTACATATGCATACATGCATGTATATATGTATACAATGTGATCGTATGTATACATGTACGGAATGCAGACTTGTGCCAAGATCCCAAAAAGATCCAAGATCCAGGATCTGCAAGATCTAAGATCTGGGATCTTGAGGGATCTTGGATCCAGCCCTTCAGGTTTTGCCGAGAGATCCTGGGGATACTGGACTCGGGCCATCATTTTGTCGAGGGATCCTGGGGATCTTGTATCCTGGCTTTTGATTTTGTCGAGGGACCTTGGGGATCTTGGATCTTGGTTTTTTGATTTGTCAAGGGATCCAGGGGATCCTGGATCCTGGTTTTTAACAGGAATATTTTACACCGATCAGTCTACAATGATTAAATGCCTACCAAACCTATATCTTGCTAGCAAATTCCAATCTCCTGAGGATGAATATCTTGCCAGGAAAACCATTGTGCAAAACATTAGCATGTACAACTGTTAAACTCACTTTATACCGCAGAAGGAAGACATAATCTACTAACTGGCGCTCAAGGTTTCAAAGTATATATCAGCATAAACATAACTTAGACTTTGAGGGCCGTACTGGATTATTTGCCAGCTGGCGTCGTATGGTGGGGCTAGCAGAGCTTGTTTTATATCAATGATAGATATAAAGTTTGGTCGGTATCAGTTGGGCATTGGTTTCGAAAATTTATGAAAGTTACATCTCTAACATGTACATCAGAAAATTCTGAAATTTACATCACTAACATGTGCACGTCCATTTAGTGCTTCTCCAGAGCTAGAGCTGAGTCACTCAGTTGCAGTATGCAGTTGCCCATAACAGATGAATCATCCTAAAATTATGATTGTGCGGTGGATCTTGGGGATTGTGCGTTGGATCTTGGGGATCTTGGATCTTACAATTTTGATATTGTGTGGGATCTTGGGGGTCTTGGATCCTGAAAGTCTGATATTGCGCGGATCTTGTGGATCTTGGACCCTGACATTTTGATTTTGAGTGGGATCCTGGGGATCTTGGATCTGGCAATTTGATTTTGTGTGTGATCTTGGGGATCTTGGATCCAGACTTGTGCCTCGACCAAAAATCAAGATCTAAGATCCACGAGATCCCACGCAATTTCAGAATTTTAGGATCCAAGATCCCCAAGATCCCACACAAAATCAAATTGCAAGATCCCAGATCCCCAGGATCCCACGAAAATCAAAATGTCAGGGTCCAAGATCCACAAGATCCGCGCAATATCAGACTTTCAGGATCCAAGATCCCCAAGATCCCACACAATATCAAAATTGTAAGATCCAAGATCCCCAAGATCCAACGCACAATCCCCAAGATCCACCGCACAATCATAATTTTAGGATGATTCATCTGTTATTGGCAACTGCATACTGCAACTGAGTGACTCAGCTCTAGCTCTGGAGAAGCACTAAATGGACGTGCACATGTTAGTGATGTAAATTTCAGAATTTTCTGATGTACATGTTAGAGATGTAACTTTCATAAATTTTCGAAACCAATGCCCAACTGATACCGACCAAACTTTATATCTATCATTGATATATAACAAGCTCTGCTAGCCCCACCATACGACGCCAGCTGGCAAATAATCCAGTACGGCCCTCAAAGTCTAAGTTATGTTTATGCTGATATATACTTTGAAACCTTGAGCGCCAGTTAGTAGATTATGTCTCCCTTCTGCAGTATAAAGTGAGTTTAACAGTTGTACATGCTAATGTTTTGCACAATGGTTTTCCTGGCAAGATATTCATCCTCAGGAGATTGGAATTTGCTAGCAATATATAGGTTTGGTAGGCATTTAATCATGGTAGACTGATCGGTGTAAAATATTCCTGTTAAAAACCAGGATCCAGGATCCCCTGGATCCCTTGACAAATCAAAAACCAAGATCCAAGATCCCCAAGGTCCCTCGACAAAATCAAAAGCCAGGATACAAGATCCCCAGGATCCCTCGACAAAATGATGACCCGAGTCCTGGATCCCCAGGATCTCTCGGCAAAACCTGAAGGGCTGGATCCAAGATCCCTCAAGATTCCAGATCTTGGATCTTGCAGGTCCTGGATCTGGGATCTTTTTGGGATCTTGGCACAAGTCTGCTTGGATCCTAAAATTCTGAAATTGCGTGGGATCTCGTGGATCTTAGATCTTGATTTTTAGTCGAGGCACAAGTCTGACGGAATGCAGTTATTTATGCATCCTTTCTTATCGTATGTCGGTATAAATAAACGCAAGGCCAAGTGTCACGGCTGGTCGTTGCGCGAGTGATGACGGTTTGCCCCTCCCCATCCCCATCTCCCCAGAGCGGCTCTCCGCTGGCGGACTGGGCCGCCATCTACGACATATGGCGCGTGCAGAACACATCGCGCATCTTCGGTGAAAAAATCGGCTGCAATATCGACACCAGCTACAAACTGATGAACTGCCTCAACAAGGCGCGAAATGCTATCGAGATCGGGAACGTCGAGTTCAAGGTACGAAATGCTATCAAGATAGGGAACGTCGAGTGCAAGATATTCAACATTCATTCCAGTTAGCGCTAGCTGGTCCATTTTTTTGTAATCGAATTCACCATGTTATTATCCTCCATTTTCTACGACGCCTCAGAGTTGATTCCGTCCGCTTCTCTGTCGAAAGGAGCACCACGTTTTTTATGCCGCGCAGTGTCACCCCAATGATTGACAGAAACACAAGACGTTCGCCCGCCGCTCTCAAGCTGTAAATATCCGCATTTTTCAGCCGGACGTGGGAACGTTCCCATGGGCACCTTACATCGAGACGAACACGACGTTTCCTGGCAACGACTGGTACGAGGAGTGGCAGCAGGACGACTGGCGCGTGCTCCCAGACTTCCCGGAGAGGCTGTTCCGCCGGCGGCAGTTCAACCAGAAGCTGCGCCTCCTCACCGGCGTCAACCGCGACGAGGCCGCCTTCTTTGTCTGTAAGCATCCAAACAATCACACCAGTCTTCAGAAGCACAGCCATACAGCTTTCTAATTTCACCATGAACCATGTATTAAAATGAAGATCCGCTTGTTTACTTCAAGAGGCTCTTACTGTTCAGTCTTCATGTCATGGTCGCACATCCTATCTTTTTACATGGACATACGTCGGATACTTATTTGGTAAAATTATAACTATTTTTGTGACTGCGATCCTGTCCTCATGTTATCGTCCCAAAAAGCCATTAGATCCTGGGAATCAGATGCTGGTCCCTTCTCTATTGCCGATGAGTGCAGCCTTTCTGTCCCGACTCCCGACCGAGCTGCTGTCTGATGTCGACATCATCCCTCCCGCAGACGAGAATCGTTCCCTGTCGCCGGACTTTGTGGTGACGCAGGAGTTTGTGGATGTGAAGATCTGGGAGTGGGTGAAACAGTACAACTACACGCTCAACCCGGAGGGCGTGTATGAAGCTATCCGATACATGTACACCTACTGGCCCGACAGACACAACACTACCTGGATCAGAGAAATGTATATCGATGTAAGTATTCTTTTTAAAATTGACCAGCGAAACTAACCCTTTTATTAGCTATGGAGTAATTTTAACGCCTCTTAGCTCGTCTATTCTGTCCATTTTGCGGGTTAAGAATAAAGAAATGAAGGAATTGGATGAAGCAAAATGAAGGAAGATTAAATCAGAGGCGGGACGGGAGAGGAAAAGATGGCATTCATTTCCCAGACGGTATTTTTGTTGTTGTCTCCGTCATGTGCCAGGCTTGTTGAGGTCCTGCATGCGACCGATGCTATGAAATTTTGAAAGGCCAGAATCAACCAGCAAGTACAAGCTTCCATCAAGTTAATTAGATTTTCATTGTTTTCTGCTTTCAGTGTTTCTATGTAAGCAAGGGAAGTCCCTATCTACGATTATTTTAAATAGCCGCCGATGTTGAGCCGCTCAATAGATAATCTGGGGCTGGATGTTTTCTTCACATCGTGTCTCCCACAGATGTTGTCGGACGCGCTCTACAAAGCGCCTGTGGACAGCATGGTCAAGCTGATGATGGACCTCGACGTGACCACCTACCAGTACGTGCTGAACACCACGGTGGAGGCCCTGAAGGCTCCGCTCTGGCGGGAGGTACCGCACGACCTCGAGTACTACTTTCTCACCGGAGCACCCTTCATGGATCCAGGTCAGTCCCATATAGCTGAGAAGCTACGCGCATGGACATTACTTTGTCTGTATTGTGTCCCGATAATATACATTGCACAACACACATCCAAACCCAACGGAAAGCCCATGCTGGTGAATCCTGCCATTGCTTCTATAGAGTAAAACAGAAAACTGCTGATGCCGATGAACAGTACCGATTAATTTGCTTTGCTCAGCCTGCCGAAGTGTATATTGTTTGGTGTGATTTCAGAGTTCTTTGCTGAGGACATACGGATTGACAGACGAAACTGGACGGAAGGTGATCGCAATATGAGTCAGCTATTCATCGAAACATTCACTAATTTTGCTAAATACGGGTGAGCTTTTGGTCCGATACCTGATCCTCTTTTGTATTGAAAGCTCGTGCTAATGGTATGTGCCCATTTAGGTTCTCTTCCTTATTACGGAGCGAGCGAAGCGAGCGGAGTCTTACGTAGAATAACAGAAATTTCTGAGTATGAGCGGCCGGCCGGCCGGCCGGCCGTGGTCACGATTCTGCGACGCTTATATCTCAGGAACCACTTGACCGATTTACATGCGGTAATTTTTGTAGGGTAGCTTCATTCCTTCTACCAAGTATTGGACTATTCCCGATGCATGTGGGTGACCCCTTATGCACGTGCCACGTGCAAAACGAAGAGGTGTCACTTTTGTAATTGTTGCAATATCTGGGTAACTACTGGGCCGATTGCGCTGAAAGTTGGCATGTAGGTAGGCACCTACTAGGCAATGCATATCCATGTGCCAGAGTTGGGGTGCTGCTGCACGTGCGCACGTGCAGGGGTCGATTCCAGATCTCGAGAACGGCTGGACCGATTGCGCTCAAATTTGGTACACGGTTAGGGACCAGTTAGTAGGGTGCCGTGCACAAGTCAGTTGGGACCCATTTTGCACGTGCGCACGTGCAGGGTGCCGCTTCCAGATCTCGAGAACGGCTGGGCCGATTGTGCTCAAATTTGGCACATCGCTAGAGACCGGTTAGTAAGGTGCCGTGCACAAGTCAGTTGGAGGTACCCCCTCGCAAGTTTGCACGTGCAAGGCCCACCCTCTCGCTCGCTCCGTTAATCGCCCCAAAAGGCGCTATACTGGTTCTAAAGTCTTGTTCTCGCCGTTTTCGCGGTTATCTGTTACACATTTGGTCACATTTAGTGCGATTTGGTCGAATCAGATTCATAATTGATTCTGAGTAGTTTTCAGCTTGGGTTGCAATAGCTGGTTATATACCTTATTTATCAAATCATCAGACTTTGTCTTCGATTAAAACGTTGAAATATATTTATGATGTGAAGGTATTTGCTGTAAAGGAAATTTGGTTACCTTTGGTAAACTCTGGTGCATTCACTTGGTAAACCGTCGTGAAAGCGGCTATTGTGTCTTTTATTTCACCTTCGTCATAGAAATGATAAACATTTTGCTAACAGTAATCGTACAATTATCTGGCCCACAGCCGACCAACTCCGAGACAAATATTCAACCTCATCAACTGGCAGCCCGTGCTGGAGGGCGACCTGCGGTTCCTCAGCATTAACAACACGTTCAACAGCACGATGTTCAGCAACTACCGACAGACAGAGTGCTCGTTCTGGAGTCGTTATCTGCCGACTGTGGTGGGACATTTGGTGCCTACTTATCGGCCTTCCACAGAGGTGAGTGGAAGGGAATGAACTATAGACTATTGCGGTTCACGGCAAATTGATTAGTTCAATCATCAAAATTAAGAATTCAAGACTACCCCGACCCTGCAGAAAATTCCATGACCAATTACCGTTCCAATGATCAAAAACCGTGATTATTTTTTATACAGTAGGTATGACTCAATTAATTTGCATTTGAACAATCACGCAGTGTAGGTACGTTGAACTCTGATCTGCCATGACCTTTGATTTCGCTATGGTTTGACTGCGGACAAACCTTGTTATTGGTTTTCAGGTCAACTTGAGTATCATTTTGCTTGTCGAAAAGTTGCCGAAGTCAAAATACTTCGGCAACTTCACTTGGATGGCGTCTTCGCAGTTTTTGGCTTATGCAATGCTCCCAATGTCATAAGCTTTGTCTTCTTTTCAGTTCTGGTGGGAACCACAGGAGCCGCTGCAAATCGCCTTTTGGTCGGTGACGGCCTTGGCATTTCTTTTGCTGGTCATCGTCGGCATATGCTGTTGTCTATGGCAAGGTGCCAAAAAGTAAGATTTAACACTCCCCTGTGCGTGAACTGAAAAATGTGTTATATGATATATAAGTGCATGTAAGGCCTAAACTTTTGAATTCATTTCAAAATGGATGAAATCGCAAGAAATTGGGTAATTTATTGCACTTTTATCCATTTTGAAATGAATTAAAAAAGTTTAGGCCTTACATTCACTTATACCTACCTATATCACATCTGTCATTTGATAATGTACTTAAAAATGTATAACAACGATCAAGAAGTACATGTCATGTCTTAGTTTCCTACGAATCGGGCATGACTTCAAAATCCCAATCGGGCTCATAAAGTTCTGTGGCAGCTGCACCCTACGACTATCACTTTGCAAATGCGATACTTGAAGATATGTTTGAGCGTGACGGTAGACAGAGCCATGCTGTGGTTCGCTGATCGCTCCCATACTCCCATGTACAAGTACATAAATGGATTTCATTCCTCATTTGTCTTTTCATTGCACTGAACTTTTTCGGCGGCTGTTTTTTCCAGGAAAACGACCCACTTGTACGAGGAGTCGTTTATGGACGACGCCTTCGACGTTCGAGAGAACAGCCACTTTGCTGCCAAATCGAGCAAGCCGCCGTCTATCGCCACGCTGTCAGGCGCGGCGGCGGCGTCCGGCAGCGGGGGCGGAACCATGGACGCGCCCCGGCACGACGCGCGGTCACTGGCGCGCGATATTCAGCAGGACCGACGGCGGCGCTCGGACGCCGGCCGGCAGCAGGCCGCCGCTCAGGCGCGCGAGACACCCACTCGCGTGCCCAGCAGCCAGGCTCAGAGTGCCACCGAGCTGGAGCCGCTGCGAGGCGCCGCCGCCGCCGAGCCGTTCACGCGCGAGCCCAGCCGCAGCTCGGCTCGGTCCCGCGACACGGTCCAGTACGCCACGCTGGAGCACACGGGCGCGCTGGCGGCCAGCGCGGCCCAGCAGCAGCTGCTGAAGGACGGCGCGCCAGGTGGCGGCCAGTCGGGGGCGCGTCACCCGCAGATGGCGCCCAACCAGAGGGATACTCCGGGAGGCCAGGTTGGACAGACGGCCGACCCACGGCAGGCCGGCAGAGTGCCCGTGCTGCCAGCGCGGCCAACGGACCGGGTGCACCCGTCGTCCCAGCCGCAGCCACAAGATGCATTCGTGCCGCATGCCAAATCCATCCCAAACATGACAGAGTATGAAGAGAGACCACCGTCCCGAATCCGCACCAAGTCGGTGGAGCAGCTGGACCGCGATGTCGATTCTGAGACGTCGCGGCCCGGGACGCCTAAGGTGCCGCGGTTCCACTTCGTCGAGCCCTACGATGTGGTGCAGCTGCCAGACGACTACCAGTACAACTCAAACCCGAACCTGGCGGCCGGAGAGCGACCGCGCACGCCGCGCACCGAGCGCAGGCCGGCCGACTGGCAGCTGCAGCCGCCGGGCTACGTGCCGCCCGAGGCTCGGCCTGTGCCGCCTACCGCCGCGCCGCGCACCGCCCCGCCGGCCGCGGCGGCGCCACCCGCGCGGCCAAAGCACCACCAGGCGCAGATAGTGGTGCAGCTGGCCTCCCGGCCGCAGGAGACGTCCGCGCGGACGGGCGCGGCGCCCGGCTGGCAGGGCGGCGCGGGCCAGCCGGCGCCGTCCGGCACGCCGCCGCCGGCGTACCAGCGGCGCGCGGCCGCCACCGACACGCCCAACACGTCCCTGGGCTACCCGCCGACCGTGTCCGAGCGCAGCCTGCCCGACACGCCCTCGGCCGGCACTGACCGCAGCTTCGAGAGCTGCGAGACGGAGGGGCGCGCCACGCCCAGACGCTACGTGCCGCCCGAGACGGACCTCTGACCTGTGCCATGCCTGGTCCGGCGTTCCGATACGCACCAGCTGTCAGCCGAGCACCGTTTCTCGGTTGGACAAGCCTTGTGAGCTTTCAGGTTCCCAGCGGCTCAATGGGAGGCCAAATGGGCTAGTTCAAAATTGCAATGGGCATGATAAACGTAAATAATCCGCATGTTACATGCTAAGGATAGCATACCAGTCACAGACAGGAGAGGAAATTGTACATGTGTGCAGCAAGTATGCTTACACAGATTGCTTTACGTGCATACGCGGGTTTTGCGTCTGCATGTTTTCATGTGAGTACAGTCTACACATAGGCGTGTTTATATTTATGTGCTTGCTGCGAAGTCTGATATGTATATGTTACGCGAACGCATTTAATGATGTAGGTAGATGATGCAGCGATGTCATCTGCACCGTGGCGTTTTTGTACCTCCGTCCGTCCAGTTAGCCGTGTTCGTGTATGTTACAGCTCGATGAGACTGCCACGTTAGATCGCCACCGTCACCAGCACCATCATGTGCGCTGAGAGCGCCACAAAACTCACCAAGCATGATCGAATCGACGGTTTCAATACATTGCCATGCCTGCATGGCAACTGGTAATTACTCTGTTTCCCGCCACTATCCACGGCACTATACACAATCTGAACCCTCGAGGGGGGGGGGGGTGCAAATTTATTTGAAAACTGATGCGTTAGGGCGACGGAATTTTGAGTACATGGAAATGGAGCTATTTTCACCAAATTGCACCATCTAATCGATTACCACCATCAAGTAATGATTGAACAAACGCTATGCACAGTGGCGCGGGAACTTCTTCCAGACTGGGGGGGGGGGGCTGAACCATCATAGAGATCAACCTAGGGTACCCCCAAATCTAGTTTTCTCATCGGTTTTAGGCCACTTATTTTTCAGACCTTGGCCTTTTCAACGAAAATAAAAGAAGAAAATATTTGCAAAAAAGTGACGTGCATAAAGTTGCATTATATTCACATTCAGATTCGCGTGCACATTCGCGGACCCCTCAGATTTTGCTCAAAATTGCACAGCTTATAGATTTTGAGCTCCTGATTGCAAAAATCATGTTTTTATTTCACGCCGTCAAGTGGTTCTCAAAATATTCACATTTGTTTTACTGCTAACATATTCAGGACCGTAACCCTTATTGGAAAAATCGGACCCCACCAAACTTCTCAAAAACTCCTGAGATGATGTAAACATAAGCGCTGATCCCAAAAACTAATTTTTACTTAACGCCGTCCCATAGTTTTCTCAGGGTGAGCATCTAAAGTTCAAGGTCGTTCAAGGTCATGTACCTTTTCTCACCTTTTGGCGCTATTTGACACGTGACAGCTTTATATTTATGATGGACATTCGCACTACCTCCTACAAAAACAATATACTGAAATCCAAGGGGCGTTGCTGTACCAAAATGTAAAAAAAGCGTCAAAACCTCTTTCATACAGCTAACAGTTAAATACAAGGGATATTCGAATTTGCCACACATAAAGCAAATTTGTCGGACCTGGTCGGACCCCTCCGATATCGTTCAAAATCTCAGGAATGATGCTCCTTGACCTCCTGAACATGAAAATGGTACTCCCTTTGAACGCCGTCAAGAACTTTTCCAGATATACGCATCCATGCACATTCAAATTGCCTAGGTGTTGCATATGCACGTTCGGCGGACCCCTCCGATTTCGTTCAAAATCTCAGGAATGATGCTCCTTGACCTCCTGAACATGAAAATGGTACTTCCTTTGAACGCCGTCAAGACCTTTTCCAGATATACGCATCCATGCACATTCAAATTGCCTAGGTGTTGCATATGCACGTTCGGCGGACCCCTCCGATTTCGTTCAAAATCTCAGGAATGATGCTCCTTGACCTCCTGAACATGAAAATGGTACTCCCTTTGAACGCCGTCAAGAACTTTTCCAGATATACGCATCCATGCACATTCAAATAGCCTAGGTGTTGCATATGCACGTTCGGCGGACCCCTCCGATTTCGTCCAAAATCTCAGGAATGATGCTCCTTGACCTCCTGAACATGAAAATGGTACTCCCTTTGAACGCCGTCAAGAACTTTTCCAGATATACGCATCCATGCACATTCAAATTGCCTAGGTGTTGCATATGCACGTTCAGCGGACCCCTCCGATTTCGTTCAAAATCTCAGGAATGATGCTCCTTGACCTCCTTGACATGAAAATGGTACTCCCTTTGAACGCCGTCAAGAACTTTTCCAGATATACGCATCCATGCACATTCAAATTGCCTAGGTGTTGCATATGCACGTTCGGCGGACCCCTCCGATTTCGTTCAAAATCTCAGGAATGATGCTCCTTGACCTCCTGAACATGAAAATGGTACTCCCTTTGAACGCCGTTAAGAACTTTTCCAGATATACGCATCCATGCACATTCAAATTGCCTAGGTGTTGCATATGCACGTTCGGCGGACCCCTCCGATTTCGTTCAAAATCTCAGGAATGATGCTCCTTGACCTCCTGAACATGAAAATGGTACTCCCTTTGAACGCCGTCAAGAACTTTTCCAGATATACGCATCCATGCACATTCAAATTGCCTAGGTGTTGCATATGCACGTTCGGCGGACCCCTCCGATTTCGTTCAAAATCCCAGGAATGATGCTCCTTGACCTCCTGAACATGAAAATGGTACTTCCTTTGAACGCCGTCAAGAACTTTTCCAGATATACGCATCCATGCACATTCAAATTGCCTAGGTGTTGCATATGCACGTTCGGCGGACCCCTCCGATTTCGTTCAAAATCCCAGGAATGATGCTCCTTGACCTCCTGAACATGAAAATGGTACTTCCTTTGAACGCCGTCAAGAACTTTTCCAGATATACGCATCCATGCACATTCAAATTGCCTAGGTGTTGCATATGCACGTTCGGCGGACCCCTCCGATTTCGTTCAAAATCTCAGGAATGATGCTCCTTGACCTCCTGAACATGAAAATGGTACTCCCTTTGAACGCCGTCAAGAACTTTTCCAGATATACGCATCCATGCACATTCAAATAGCCTAGGTGTTGCATATGCACGTTCGGCGGACCCCTCCGATTTCGTTCAAAATCTCAGGAATGATGCTCCTTGACCTCCTGAACATGAAAATGGTACTCCCTTTGAACGCCGTCAAGAACTTTTCCAGATATACGCATCCATGCACATTCAAATTGCCTAGGTGTTGCATATGCACGTTCAGCGGACCCCTCCGATTTCGTTCAAAATCTCAGGAATGATGCTCCTTGACCTCCTTGACATGAAAATGGTACTCCCTTTGAACGCCGTCAAGAACTTTTCCAGATATACGCATCCATGCACATTCAAATTGCCTAGGTGTTGCATATGCACGTTCGGCGGACCCCTCCGATTTCGTTCAAAATCTCAGGAATGATGCTCCTTGACCTCCTGAACATGAAAATGGTACTCCCTTTGAACGCCGTCAAGAACTTTTCCAGATATACGCATCCATGCACATTCAAATTGCCTAGGTGTTGCATATGCACGTTCGGTGGACCCCTCCGATTTCGTTCAAAATCTCAGGAATGATGCTCCTTGACCTCCTGAACATAAAAATGGTACTCCCTTTGAACGCCGTTAAGAACTTTTCCAGATATACGCATCCATGCACATTCAAATAGCCTAGGTGTTGCATATGCACGTTCGGCGGACCCCTCCGATTTCGTTCAAAATCTCAGGAATGATGCTCCTTGACCTCCTGAACATAAAAATGGTACTCCCTTTGAACGCCGTCAAGAACTTTTCCAGATATACGCATCCATGCACATTCAAATTGCCTAGGTGTTGCATATGCACGTTCAGCGGACCCCTCCGATTTCGTTCAAAATCTCAGGAATGATGCTCCTTGACCTCCTTAACATGAAAATGGTACTCCCTTTGAACGCCGTCAAGAACTTTTCCAGATATACGCATCCATGCACATTCAAATTGCCTAGGTGTTGCATATGCACGTTCGGCGGACCCCTCCGATTTCTTTCAAAATTTCAGGAATGATGCTCCTTGACCTCCTGAACATGAAAATGGTACTCCTTTTGAACGCCGTCAAGAACTTTTCCAGATATACGCATCCATGCACATTCAAATTGCCTAGGTGTTGCATATGCACGTTCGGCGGACCCCTCCGATTTCGTTCAAAATCTCAGGAATGATGCTCCTTGACCTCCTTAACATGAAAATGGTACTCCCTTTGAACGCCGTCAAGAACTTTTCCAGATATACGCATCCATGCACATTCAAATTGCCTAGGTGTTGCATATGCACGTTCGGCGGACCCCTCCGATTTCGTTCAAAATTTCAGGAATGATGCTCCTTGACCTCCTGAACATGAAAATGGTACTCCTTTTGAACGCCGTCAAGAACTTTTCCAGATATACGCATCCAAGCACATTCAAATTGCCTAGGTGTTGCATATGCACGTTCGGCGGACCCCTCCGATTTCGTTCAAAATCTCAGGAATGATGCTCCTTGACCTCCTGAACATGGAAATGGTACTCCCTTTGAACGCCGTCAAGAACTTTTCCAGATATACGCATTAATGCACATTCAAATAGCCTAGGTGTTGCGTATGCACGTTCGACGGACCCCTCCGATTTCGTTCAAAATCTCAGGAATGATGCTCCTTGACCTCCTGAACATGAAAATGGTACTCCCTTAGAACGCCGTCAAGAACTTTTCCAGATATACGCATCCATGAACATTCAAATTGCCTAGGTGTTGCAAATGCACGTTCGGCGGACCCCTCCGATTTCGTTCAAAATCTCAGGAATGATGCTCCTTGACCTCCTGAACATGAAAATGGTACTCCCTTTGAACGCCGTCAAGAACTTTTCCAGATATACGCATTCATGCACATTCAAATTGCATAGGTGTTGCATATGCACGTTCGGCGGACCCCTCCGATTTCGTTCAAAATCACAGGAATGCATCCGCCGAACGTGCATATGCAACACCTAGGCAATTTGAATGTGCATGGATGCGTATATCTGGAAAAAATCTTGACGGCGTTCAAAGGGAGTACCATTTTTATGTTCAGGAGGTCAAGGAGCATCATTCCTGAGATTTTGAACGAAATCGGAGGGGTCCGCCGAACGTGCATATGCAACACCTAGGCAATTTGAATGTGCATGGATGCGTATATCTGGAAAAGTTCTTGACGGCGTTCAAAGGGAGTACCATTTTTATGTTCAGGAGGTCAAGGAGCATCATTCCTGAGATTTTGAACGAAATCGGAGGGGTCCGCCGAACGTGCATATGCAACACCTAGGCTATTTGAATGTGCATGGATGCGTATATCTGGAAAAGTTCTTGACGGCGTTCAAAGGGAGTACCATTTTCATGTTCAGGAGGTCAAGGAGCATCATTCCTGAGATTTTGAACGAAATCGGAGGGGTCCGCCGAACGTGCATATGCAACACCTAGGCAATTTGAATGTGCATGGATGCGTATATCTGGAAAAGTTCTTGACGGCGTTCAAAGGGAGTACCATTTTCATGTCAAGGAGGTCAAGGAGCATCATTCCTGAGATTTTGAACGAAATCGGAGGGGTCCGCTGAACGTGCATATGCAACACCTAGGCAATTTGAATGTGCATGGATGCGTATATCTGGAAAAGTTCTTGACGGCGTTCAAAGGGAGTACTATTTTCATGTTCAGGAGGTCAAGGAGCATCATTCCTGAGATTTTGAACGAAATCGGAGGGGTCCGCCGAACGTGCATATGCAACACCTAGGCTATTTGAATGTGCATGGATGCGTATATCTGGAAAAGTTCTTGACGGCGTTCAAAGGGAGTACCATTTTCATGTTCAGGAGGTCAAGGAGCATCATTCCTGAGATTTTGAACGAAATCGGAGGGGTCCGCCGAACGTGCATACGCAACACCTAGGCAATTTGAATGTGCATTGATGCGTATATCTGGAAAAGTTCTTGACGGCGTTCAAAGGAAGTACCATTTTCATGTTCATGAGGTCAAGGAGCATCATTCCTGAGATTTTGAACGAAATCGGAGGGGTCCGCCGAACGTGCATATGCAACACCTAGGCAATTTGAATGTGCATGGATGCGTATATCTGGAAAAGTTCTTGACGGCGTTCAAAGGGAGTACCATTTTCATGTTCAGGAGGTCAAGGAGCATCATTCCTGAGATTTTGAACGAAATCGGAGGGGTCCGCCGAACGTGCATATGCAACACCTAGGCAATTTGAATGTGCATGGATGCGTATATCTGGAAAAGTTCTTAACGGCGTTCAAAGGGAGTACCATTTTCATGTTCAGGAGGTCAAGGAGCATCATTCCTGAGATTTTGAACGAAATCGGAGGGGTCCGCCGAACGTGCATATGCAACACCTAGGCAATTTGAATGTGCATGGATGCGTATATCTGGAAAAGTTCTTGACGGCGTTCAAAGGGAGTACCATTTTCATGTCAAAGAGGTCAAGGAGCATCATTCCTGAGATTTTGAAC